AGAGCTTGTTGCCTGAGAGTGGATGGAATGATCACCCTAGTTCCCCAAAGTTAATCCTCAATATCTTCAATTGGTTGTTCAAATTTTCTAGCTCAATGGATTATTCATTGATTTTTTTGCCGATTTTACAAATATTTTACTCCGTCTTTAAAATGAAAATCCAAATTCTTTTCAAAAAGTTTTCGGTGAACACGTCAGTAAGGATACGTGAAAAGTACCAACATTTTGATGAGAGATTCGTAAATAATCCTACAATATGAACTTCTATCCTTGCCAAACAACGGTGGGTATAGGTGAATTCGAAGTTATTATGTGCTTGAAATGCACTGTATTTAAGAAATCTATAAATTGTCAATTCCAGACATATAACGAATGAGGACGAAAGGAATCATTCATCAATGATAATGTGTTTATGGGAATTTCATCTTTATGACGACGTATTGGTTATTTTACTTACTTATTACGTGATAGTTAAAATAAAAATATAATATTAAAATTCATCGAAATACATCGATACTGGAATCGAAATAACAATTAAAGAGGCTGTTTGACAATAATGCAACAGATTAGTATGTATAGTTTAGATATCAACAGTAGTAAACCAACTCGCCAACTTAAAAGCAACGAGTAGATAATATCGTTAAGAACAATTGGATTTTTTAATCTACGTATTTGTAGATTAATACAAGAGTAAATTATACCATTGCAACTGTTACGAATATTTAGAGAAAATAACATATTGACATCGTTATGTGAGACGGAAAATTAAATCAGCATACCTAAAACTTGAAAGTAGAATATTATATTCTTATACAACTGTAGTATTTTCTTAATCACCATAGAACTATTCAAAATCTTGAGTTATGTTTTTAAATTTGATCAAACCAATAAATGACGGTGCTCAAAAGAGACGATACAGTAATTAAAGTAAAATTCAACATCTTATCTATTGTGGGTTATCAGTTATTCGTGCAACCAACACTCACGGCTAAGATCAGATTAAGACAGAAGGCTTTGTCAAAATAAGGTCTTTTACCTTTTAGCACTCATATTACTCGTGATACAAAGCATGTAGAATATTAACCAATTGAACAGCTTTACAATTTTCTATATGCACATTCACCTGACTATTATCAAGTGTAATTTTCTAATGCAACTCCAAGAGGACGTGCTTTTAACATGCATGATATATTGATTGTGCGTGGGACTTTTAAAACTAACAACACACCTAAGTGAAACATTGGAATATTAGGTGTACTAAACAAAATATTCAAGTGACTTAAGAGTAAATATATGTTTGAAGTTGTGTTTGAAGTGTTATAGACGCATTTTTATTTACTTTAAGTCATTTTATGAACTTTCCCACATTTCCCTACTGCGTTAAAAGTATAAACACTACGTTATTTTTAAATGCATTTGAGTTAGTACGAAAACGAAACCATACCTTAGTGCGATACCTCTGATAAAATGTGAGTAAAGACATCATCAGCATCTTAAACATGAGGATACAAGCATAAAAGCCAAACCCCTGTAGAACAGCATTGTCCATTCTCACTGTCGACATGTCCATGGTGAACTGACCACTGGATATTAAACACTAGGGGTGACTTAGACAATGGACGGGTGGTTATCGATAGGGAAAATCGATATATCGAGATTATCCGATAGTAGACTTGTGCCATCGAAACGTTGTGGACAGAACTGGACAATGGCTACTGTCGGATTGATGGTGGACAATTAGATAATATAATTAATTACGTGTCGATAAATCGGAAAAAGACCGACCCATTTCGTAAGTGATAATTAATAAAGGACAAATGTATCCATTAGAAAAAAAAATCTTTAATAAAACCTGGTTTGAACATTTAATAAAGATTTTGTGGTAGATTATACCATAGACAAAAAGAATTACTGAGGGTTAGGGTCGATATGAAACTTCGATATATCGCAAAAGTCATCCGATTATGCGGATATTGAAAACGTACGTTTAGCTATCACAAACACGCAATAGCTTCTGTCTCCATTATGAGGGAGGGCACTTTGAAAAATTAATAAATTCTGCCCTTGAATACAGTAGTTGACTTACTAAAATATAAATATGCTAAAATATTATTATTGGGTACAATTTTAAAACTATTGGTGAAGGAGAAATTTTTGAGATATTTTTATCAGCGGAAGTATTTATAAAAGTTCTATTGTATGATTGTAGAATCTGACCCAAAGATAAGATTAGAGACTCGTTGAAAGTCACCCTCTTAAAATAAAGAGGTAACAAAGTTTATCATATGCGCATGTTTAAATGTTTTGCTGGTTGTTTATCATTTAAGATAATATTTAAACCTGTGTCTAAGATTGTTTTTTCTATACCAGCGGAATTTTGATATTTTATCAAAGTTCTGGTTATTTTTACGCCTTTCACATAGGTATTTTTGAAAATATTCTGCTTTCTTACATATACGAAATTGATTGTTTTGGAATATGTAACGAAATAAGAAAAAATATTTTAAACTCTTAAAGCAAACCTTAGAAGAGAAAACTATAACATCTTCCTTCTCACATTAAGGTATAACATTAGTCAAAGTTAGTTGTTTGAATATAAGTTTCAATCGCTACCTTTAACATACTGTACTATACTCTGTTCCCACAATTTAGGGGGTTTAAGGGGAATAAATCTTTCCCCTCCACTTGATCGTACCTTTAAATAGCTCAACAGCTGAGGTTTGCCAAAACGTCAATCAGCTGCATCATGTATATTAAGCAAAAAAGTAGTGGAACCTTAAAACCACCTACATTTTGTGAACGGACTATTGTAGTAAATACTGCTTATACCACCTCACTGGTCTAATATAATTTTGCATAATGAATAATTTTGTTGTTGAAAATATTCCAATTTGTCGATGTTTTGAAAATTAATATTCAATCTGAAGTACTAGAGTAACAAAAGTCTGTCAATAAACCTCCTAGTATAAACAAGCAATATAATTACTAATAAAATTAAACAAGTACCTATACTTGTAGGTAGGTATTGAAAAAGCTTAAATCATTTACAACAACGATCATTAGCTTAGTAGCATAGGTTCAGTTTGACGTGCTACCTTAGCTAGGAAGTCCTGCGGACTCCAATCACGAATACCAATCACCACTCGTCGTTGATGGAGTTGACCTTATTATTATTATTGTTATTATATTCGAGGTCATATAACGTCAGTCCATATACTTACATCTAAATTTAATACTTAACATTAAATTTAAAATCGCAAGGAACGCCACAAAACCGTATGAATTGAACATCAAGTCAAACGAAAGAAGGGTTCGTTGGATTAGGTTTGACGTCAAAACTATGTATTTTGAGTGAAACCTTTGATTTGTTGTGGGAAATCGTGTTAACAATTAGAGTACCTTAATTGTAGGCCTATATTAAAAACAAGGTAATGTCAGCTTACGCATGGTGGTTTGTACAATTTGCTTCAAGTTCTGATTGTGAATAAATCCTTCGTACTGTAGTCGCTAGTAGGTAACATAGTTTTAGATACCCCCGATAAATATTAGTCATTTTTTTATTTGTCCACAATTTAAAATAGAACTTCCATTTTATTCATTAACCAGGTGCATATGAAAATGTAAAAAATGTAAAAAATGTACAGTAGAACCTTGATAAGAAGACCCTCGATAACAAGTCACCCTTGATAAAAAGTGTAATTTTCAAATCCTCTTGAATTTATATTACCCCTAATCACATGTTATTACAAACCTCAATGAGAAGTCAACCTTGATAACAAGTCTAATTTAATAATTCCCATGAGAGTCATGTTATCGAGGTTCTACTGTATATCTATCCCTGTAAATTGCGGTTAAATACTAACGTGGTGTGTAAGGCCGCGAGGGATTTATATTATTAGTGTATATATTAATAGATGTGTTACACGGAATATAGGATTCTAGTCGTAATGTTTCTCCTTGGAATGGAAAATGTAGTATCTTGTGTTGAATCCAGAATGAATACCGTACTCCTAAAGCAATATCACTGGCACACACACATTAATTTGTTGAATGAGACTTTACACACCTTGGTGACTTTATTTAAGATACCAATACGTTTTTAAATATTTAAATATACTACTGTAATATTGTAATCGAAGCATTCAAACAATCTTAAACGAAATCAGTTGAGTTATTCTAATCGCAAGTTAATAATTACTCTAGTTGATAGATGTAGCCTAAAGATGAGTTATAGAAATTTATAATCTAATACGAATCTTCAAATTGCTGTCATTCAACATTATAATTACATGTTAATATGTGACAATATAACATGTGACGTGTTGTGTGAAATTACGGAAAACAGCCAGAACCTTAGTTGAATGATTCTGTTAAAAGCTATAACTTGTCATGCATAAACCTATGTTATTAGACATGCATGTTAAGATTAGATTAGATTTGTTATGACTCTAACTCACAAGGGAGAAGCTGAAGGAGTGTAAAATACAGTTTTGGAGAATGTCAAATACAGTAATGCTCTCGGTAATCAAACAAAATGAAACGTTTTAGGAAAAAGGCATGTATTTAAGTTTTCAGAGATGAAGGACGGAGAAAAGAAAAACATAAATGGTGAATGAGTTTCAGAAGGACGGTCATTACACTTTTGTACCTAAGAAAACCTTGTTTTTAGCGCTCCCTCGAAAGAAACTCGAATTAACTTGTAGGAAAATATTGTATATCCTCGATAACATAAAGTCATCCTTGAAAACACCTGCACATTTTAAATACACCTGATTTTATATCACCCCTAATAACATACTATTGGTAACCTCTATAGAAATTCAATCTTGATAACAGGTCTAGTTTGATTATCCATATACTTTAGAACCATTTTTTGGACGCTTCTACAAAAAAAACTCCATTTACATACAACTAAAAACTAAATCGTACAAGAACAACAGTTCAAAATACAAGAATATACATTAAATTAGTGTAATATTATAATCAAAAACTTATCTTACCTTTTTTCTGAACCTCTGAAAAGCGGTAAGTGGGGCCATAAGTAATGTCTTTAGCATAAGGATCGCAGCGTAGAACGCATACCCTTGCAGAACCTGGTTGTCATAGCTGAAAATCGAGAGAGAGAAATTCATCTTGATAGAACACTACTGAACTGACTGACAAACACAACTGACCAAGACGCGACGAAGGAGACGGACCCGGGAAGGAGTGGTGGTATGGCGGGAAATTAAAAACAGGTGTTGTGTTAGTAAACAAACGCGGCACTGCAGCGCTCGGAGCGGCCGGACGTGGAACTACTGTAATTAGTCTGACAAGCCAACTACTGCTGTGTCACGTTCAGTTGGTGTTTGAAGTAGTTTATTTTTTTTAGAACTTCAAGGCCACAAAATGTAACTGTCGTTTCATGGTTTACAAGATCTATTCAGTCTTTACACAAATGGGCCTCTCTTCATATGTCTCTCTTTCTCATAAGAGAGACACATGTCTCTCAAACAAGACATCGAACCAACAAGAAAACTTTCATTACGTTCTGAATTCTTAACGTTCTGATTTCATTTTCTTCTGAATGGAGCTTCGCCATGCGAAGACATGGATGAAATAATGTGTTAATTGTTATTTCACATAATTAGCTATAGCATGGATAAATAAAATACAATATACAGGGTTAGGAAAAAGTCTGGAACCCCCCAGTTAACTTTTTAACGCGTTGCAATAGGAAAACCAAACTCTGTACATAATTATAACGCAAGAAATTGCACTTTTTCATCAAAGTTACAACTTTGCCCCAGCCCCCAAAATGGGATATTTTGTGGGCAGTCCCAAAATTTCAAATGTAAAAGCCTATCTTGTGGGGTTTATAAAATATAAAATTTTTAAAGTTAACTGGGGGTGTCCAGACTTAATCTTGCTTGCTCATCTAAAATTAAAATGGCTGCCATTTTGATTAGGGGTGCGATATTCACCACCTCTGGTTTGCGCCATTCAATTTCTCTTGATCAGCCCTTTAAAATGAGGGGTCACATGATAGGTGTTTACATTTGAAAATTTGTGGCTGCCCCCAAAATAGCCCATTTTGGGGGCTGGGGCAAAGTTGTAACTTTTATGAAAAAATGCAATTTCTTATGTTGTAAACATGTGCCGAGTTTGGTTTTCCTACTTGCAACGCATTAAAAAAGTTAACTGGGGGGTTCCAGACTTTTACCTAAACCTGTACAAACAATTGCACATTTATGCACATACTCGCTGTTGGCTTGACCTAGGTAATCAAGTAGTCGATTAAAATTGAATACAGGCCTAATTCAGAACAGCTAGTTTACACGCATGTCTCGAACTGTCTGTAGTAATAAGGTCTTAGCCTCTTGGACAGTTGCATGTTGACAGTACAGTGAATACATATTTCCATAGAAACCATTAATTTTATTCATTTTTCGGTTGAATAAATCAATGCAAGACAAAATTTATCCTTATGTCAACATTATGATGAGAAAGAGTCAAGAAAGTTAAGTGTCTTGACTCCATTCCAGAGGGTACTACAGTCAGTAAGTAGATCAGTTCTGGAAGATCAGTGAAAACTTGCAATGATTCGTCTATTCTTGTCATTACTGCTTCAAACGACCTAACTTGCAGGATCACTATCGGAAACAACTAAAATAGGGACTTCTGAGGAAAATGGAAGTTTATAAAGCAATAAGGATCTTCGTAGTTGAAGTGATTGCTCAGGATAAAGTGCCAAAGGATCTAAGAAAATGATTGAAGAACATGATGGAATATGGGAGATTAATGCAGATAGGATGAGGAGCTGCACTATGTGTGAAAACTTCAAGAGGAAGAAACCAAAACGTTCTGCAGCAACACTGTGAGCTGATTGAAGACAATTTGCGATAGAAAAGAAGGATAAAACCTGAAGAAGACGAAAATAATAGTTATAGGCTAACGAACTTGTTAGTATTAAGTATGGTATGTATCTAGTATTAAGTATCTTTTGTACACAGTATTGTATTTTATGTATCTTTTAATAAAGTATCCGTGCGCTTTCGTACTTCAGCGTATACGGAGCGTCCCCTGGGTGGCGGATAGGGGGAGGTCGGTGGATCTGCTTGTCAGTCCTCCCGGCTAGGTCCGATGGACCCGCTGACCAGAAGTAGGTGCGGTCCTCCATTCATATTGGGGGTTGTGGCGATGGGCTAACCATCCTCCCATGTAAAAAACTCTTTTAAGCATGTTGTGTATCTAAGGTTAAGTATGTCGTGTGTATCTAGCTGTATTATTTGTACGTAGCGTTAAGTATCTTATGGATCTAGTATTAAAGAATTTCATGAACTAATTATTATAGTGTTCCATAATGTTTTACCACTGCACATAAACAGTAGGAAAAAGTAAAGTTCTCATGGTGTATCAGAGGTTTTTGTTGCTGCTTGGTTAAAATTAGCTGTTGTCATCAATTCAAAAAAGTTAAAAGTGCTGCACTTGAATATCATCATAGACAAAAAGAATTAAATATTTAATAATATAACAAATATTATTTAATTCTTTTTGTCTATGATATCATAGAACCAACGTGTGTAGTAGAAACAGCTTCTAAATTATTTAATTCCTTTTAAATACAATAATTTTAAGGGAATTTGAAAATGACACTTGTTATCAAGGGCAACTTGTTATCGAGGGTCTTCTTATCAATGTTCCACTGAATACCCATAAAGTTAACATGGAAAACTTCAGAGCCCGAAAAGATTTTTGGGATAAGAATATGTCTATATGTTAATCGGCAACGTGAGCTATAATCATGCCAAATTTCAGCCCAATCTGACCAGTATTTAAAGCATGATTGAACTTCAAACAAATAAACAAACACAAACTTTCACATTTATAATATTAGTAGGATTACTACAGAATAAAGAGAGTCTATCTTGAAGAGTATACACACCTACTACTGTTTATTCTGTGGCTGATCTTAATTTTAGTTCAATACGAAATCAGCAGATATAGGCAAGAGCTGCATAGAGCAGCAGACATCTTAGCTAACCAAATATCAAGAATCAATTATCAATTATTGAGATGGGGACGCCACCTAGGTGTTTATTTAAACCGAAACATGAGTGTAGAATGACGTGGTCTTTGTACCTGTACTGACTAAAACCGGTTGTTTCATTAGTCAGGACCATTTATTAGTAACCCAAAGAATCAGGAACAGCTGGGTCCAGTTTCCAACCTTAAAAAAGCTACACACTTTTCTCAGGATCGAACCGGCGACTTTATATTACTAGGCAAGCACTATAACCAGTTCCCAGCCTAATTAATAGATTTATTTGAATTTAAAAAAGGAACTGTTTCTTTATTACCTGTCACAAGTTTGAGTGAAATGCCGGTGGCGAGGTGACTTTTGGTATGGTTCCTAATATATATAGGTATAAATAAGTGTAGGCCCAATATTAGATTATTAACCCAATACTATTCCAAAGTCGCTACATTCATCTAGTTCACATAAATGGGATGTCTACTTGCAGTATCCAAATTAGAAGGGGCATCTGTTCCTCGTAAAAGTCTACTTGCAGATATGCCAAGTCAAGTCAATAGTGCATCTGGTTTACATAAACGAAATGTCTGCCTGCGGTTTGTCCAAGAATTTAAAATTTTAAATTCCCATGTTATTCTTATGGAGAATAAGTAAACTTTTGTAGTTTGCATGTTTATGAGCATAATTTGATCAAATATGGAAAATATATTTATTTTATTATACTATTAAAGTTTAACTATAAAAACACTTTATTACCTTCCCTGAACCAACTTTAGTACTCATTTAACTAATGTTATTTAAATAGGGAATAAATAGGACATTTCAAAGGAGACGTTTTAGTGAAAATCCAACCAGCCAAATGGAAATTCGCTTAATCTGCAGGTTTGCTCATTAGGGGGTATTTTATTGTTATCTTCCAAATACAGTACTGTCATGATGGTGACCAATCAACCCATAAGGCCCATGTTACATTTCTAAAAGTTAAAATTCACATAGGGTGAAGCCCTGTTGTCCGATTTGTACCGGTTTGGATTTATACCTGACCTGCTCATAGTTATTTACTATGACTGCTAAATTTCATGCGGATCACCTCAGCCGTTCAGGAGTATTTCTAAAACAAAAGCAGGAGTGTAGTATAAGAGATTTGCTCGCTCCGCTCAACAAGTATGTAATACAACTAAAATATATGTTCCAAAAACTTTTTAACTAGAATATCAGTAGTTGGTATAAAGGATTTAATAGTTATATTTATAAATTCCACTGTTAACTAGTAAGCTGAACATGATAATGCTAAAACTGCGAGTGAAATGTTATGCAGAAAAATAAATAACAAACAACTTCATAGTATACCTCTTACATTTGTTTACACGCCAACATGGTTAACATTTTTACTAGAGAAAACACGAATAAAAATTGAAACTAAAGCCCCGTTGGGATTATAGGAGTGTACGTATATGAAGTTATGAACTCCTTGTCATCATTTAATAATAAACTGCACTTCAGTTAAGTACCAGAAAAATATAATAATTGACGCAATTATAAAGAAAAGTTGTTGGAATAGTGTGTTTCGTATGTTTAACTTCGTTCATTAAATGATTCTAAAAAATATCACAACATCAATGATAATGTAAGATGTGGTAGCGAAAAAATCTCTTCCTAATTAATACTAGTTTAACTGTTGGTTATTGATAATGATAAAATAAAATTTCCACTGCAAACCTGAAGCTAAAATAACTAAACAGTTAAAATTTGTATTTTAATGTTAATATAATACGTAATCGTAAAGGTAGAATAGCCTTTTTTATATTTGGTATAAACAACACCATGAAAAACCATATACTTTATTAAATATGAAGTTTATTATCTGAGTATATGAATAACTAATCAAATGTTAATTTAAATAGCTAAGTTGACACTATTCAGATGTACTAACATGCACTCGTCTTATATGAATAAAGATATTTTGATTTGATTTGATTTAATATTAGATTAGAAAGGTGTGAAATGTATTTCCAGTAAATGACTTGAGGGTGTTTGCTATATGTTTATTTCATTAAGTACTTAAAATTAATGATACAATACCATAAAAAAATGCCATTAGAACAAATGTATGGATAAATATATAGATGGATACAGATGATTATATCCATTTATTGATAAACTTAAATAATACAATTCTTAA